AGTGCAAACAAGCCTGAAACAAACACAGTAAAAAAACATATGACGTGTATTTAAAAGCCTAAACTGGCTGGAGACAAACCAGATGGCTTATATGCAAAGCACAGCCAAGGAGTTGGACTTGGGGCAACCACGAACAAATCTAGTGAGTAACAGGGAGAAGAGCTTGCATGAACTTGGGACGACAGATTATAAGACCAGCCTCTTAAATACTTGGTCACATTGCTTCCTCAAGAATTTTCCCTTTTTTCTCAGCTGAGTCAAATTTTTGGGTAGTATTAAGCAAATTATATCTGCAGCAAATTTGAAAGATTTTAGTGAACTGTGAATAAAGTTGAAAAATTTTGGTAGTTTGCTTAAGTTTGCAGCTTATGCAATGTGCACCATATATTCACCCTTTAGATAGACAATCTCCTCTTTTATGACAGTCACTGCTAAAAATAATCTTGAAATAAATAAATACTCTCAATGTACTTGTATGAGCCTTTATCAACACCCCAACTTGAAGTTTAATCTCCAGAATCTCCCTGTTTATACCTTGGGTATCTGTTGACTTAACATTACATTACATTCCATTGCATTCCTTTCAGATGACAAAGCTCTACGGAAACATTTTCTTTGTCTCAAAATCCAGGCAAGCAAGACAGCTGTTAGTGCAGTTTTTGATATTGTGTTAATTAACAGAAACAAAGGGGAAACAGCTCCTCCTGGATACAAATTACTTACGTAAGTATCTTACATTTATGTTGCTTTTTTAGGGGATTTAACCGACTTTTACTTCTAGGAGTAACAAGCATCTGGATGTTCCTTATAATACACCCCTGATCAGGTCATGAGAATGAAAGAAATCATCACCCACTATAGAAGCTCTTGATTGTTAAACAAATTATTCTCCTTGACCATGAAAATGTGAAATTCATACAATTATGTGATCAGAAATTAATTGGTATGAAAGTGTTCTTCGGGACTGTATTGGATTTGAACCCACAACCTCTGCAATAGCGATGCAGTTCTCTGCCATAGGGCACAAAGCGTTCACTGCCCAACAACTCCTCTACAGACTGATGTATGCTCTGGTTGCTGATGGAAGTATCATTGACTTTGACCAATAACAGTCTTTTTCAGGACTATTCTATACTTAATGATCCAGTTTAATGATCAAGTGTTGTTGAGGAATGTATATGTGTTTTTTTTTTTTCCAGGAACGAGGTGAATAACCTGTCAGTATGTTTTAAAGTAGCTCCAATGATGAGAGGACAACCTGGACCTCCTTCAGATCATCAGAACACATACAGTGTACCTCCTCAAAATCAATGGTTTGTTTCATTTTCATAAAAAGCTATTAGTAAACATGAACTAAAAGAAAAAAAAAACACCAAACATAACTGACATACTTACTTTAACATCAAAATACTGTAGCTGACAAATTTCATATGGGCAGAAATAGCCATTAGCTAAGCATAAAGAATATAGACCCATTCTGTGCCAGAGGTCTAGAGTTTCTCTGCCTTTCTATAGGTATGGTCACGCTCCAGTCCCAGGTCCCCAACAACATCAGCCAAGTTATCAAGCACTTCCTGCAGTGTCAGGTAAACCTGGAGCAAGTTCTGGTGAGTATAAACTTGTCTGTAGCTGCTTAATGCAATGGGATACCTGGAAAATTGTGAAGAAAGTAAAGCTCTAAGGCAGTTAGTTGTCATAACATTTTAAGTTATTTTGTAGTAGAGAAAAATGTTAAAACAGAACAAAACCTTAAACCGAAGTTTCCTGTCGTAGAAGAGTGGTACTGATCAAGTATGAGGTAACAATAAAGCAAAGAGAATGAGGATCACTGACCATTAATCATAGTCTTTGAAATGACTCACTTGAAGATGCAATAATGTTGAACAGCTTCCGTTTCTGGCAACTTGCTACTAGTTAAGAGAGCTCACTCAATACGCATTGTACAGGTGTACATGGTCAGATGAATGCCCACACCAAAAATTTTAACTTCCAGTCATGTGCTATCATAACATTTGTGGAAATTGCTCTTTCATAAATTATGTAGCTCTTTGTTCTTTGTTTTTGTAGATAAGGTCTATGAATGATGTCAGTGTTGTATTTTGATTATCGCCCAAACGTGGGTAAAGACGCACTGTGTGTTTGTTTGTCAGTGATACTTCGTTGTTTTTTTCCTTCATCTCTATAGCAATTGAAGGCCTTCCGTTTGAAGTTAATTCCAAGTTTGAGATCCTGTGGAAAAAGTCAGGGGTAAGTTTTGCTGACCCTATAGCTATAAACGTTGCAGTGCGATCTCTACAACCTTAGTTTATACTTGAAAAAACCGTGGATGTCATTGAAGGTGCGCACTGATTGGCTACTCAAGCTCTAAATATCATTTGTTATTCCCCTCCGAGCAACTCGCACGGGATTTTCACCTCAAAATATAGTAATCGTTGCTGGGATAAATGAGTTAAAATCATCTTTTTGTGCTATAAAACCTCACTGTTTTAATATATAATAAAACGACTCGTCAGCTCACGGTCGGTGGCTAACAGTGAATATTTACCGAAGCGGCTCAGTAAAAACAATTCATCTACCGCCAGCCACCAATACTGAGGTGAATAGTTGTTATTTCAATTGCAAGGATGCGGGGTTTGCGCCATTTGTAAACAAACTCGAAGTTGTCCTCCAGTTTGCGAGATCATGTCATGACGTCACATCTGAAATGGGTCTATAAGGGTCCTTTGCATTGGGGAGTAGGAATGACGCAGTGGTGAGAGCACTCGCCTCCCACCGCCGTGGCCTGGGTTCGATTCCCGGACCCGGACCTGGCGTCACATGTGGGTTGAGTTTGTTATTAATTCTCGTCCTTGCTCCGAGGGTTTTTCTCCGGGTCCTCCGGTTTTCCTCCCTCCGCAAAAACCAACACTCCAAATCCCAATTCGATCTAGAAACAGTGGACAAGGAAGAGCCACCCAGTGGAATGTCCCTTGCTAAATTACTATTCATTATTAGTATTTTATTATTATTGAGTGAAAGCACAATAATTTAAAGTTAGAAATAGGAATGGGAAAATGAAGAAGGTGGTTTAGTGGTCAGGCTTCTTTAGTTTACACAAATTTTGTAAAGGGAATAAAGACCGTTTGCCATCCAGTGTTTAACAGAAATGATATTCAACATGTTCTCTTTTGATGAGGGTGTTTTATTTATTATCCTCAGTCTGTGATTCCAGCTATGCAAAGCTTATCTGCCAACGACATAAACACAAAGGTAAGTGGACTTTACATTGAAGCCTTTCAGAGAATTAGTGAAAGAGACTGCAACCTTCATACATGACTGTCACCTTACGTGAAGTATTTTAAGATCGGTCCAGTCTTCATCCAAGACCCTTTTAATCTCACAGAGCCTCTCTCTTGCAGTATAACTATGACTTCAGCAAAGAGCAAGCTGTGACATCAAGATGAGAGAAACAAGCTGTCTGAGTCAGTTAGATGAATGGTTCGTCTGCTGTGTCACACGGCTGATTGTGATTTTTCAAAGCTTGGCTACAACGCGGCAACGATCACATCTCCTTTGCAGCTGACCATGGCAGCACAGGAAGTCCACCTTGATACACAAATATTTCGAATCCTGTAACCTTAAGTTCACAAACTAGAGTTTTGAAAATGATTTAATCAGTTAACTCCATTCTGCTGCTATACTCTTCTCCATTTTGCCACATTATTCTGCTCGAGGAAGTTTTTCGTGAGAAATTCCCTTCTCTGTTACGTATTGAGCCCATGGAGACGCTCTGGATAACCTTTCGACACAAATTTGCTAGCGGAGATGATTTGACAAAACCATTTGTTAGGAAAACTGTAGAGCTTTTACAGTTTTTTCGGATTATTGCTGTGTAAGTGAAGTCAAGTTCTACTTTTAGACTGGTACAATTTCTTTAAGAAGTGAATTTCAGATTATTATTTGCCTATACAGGTGTTTGAAGGACGCTTTTAGTGTCCACTGAACTATGGATCAACTGAATGAAACTGGAATAAACTGAAACTTAGAAAAAATAAACCAATTTTTTTATGAGATTTTGTGCCTTCTCGTCATCAGTGACAGATACGACTAGACGTGCTAATTAAGGAATCTACAAGCACCTGTAACTAGGGCCTCTTGCTTGAGGTGGATTTCCAGTGTCGTTTAAGTGTTTTGCTTTCGTAAAACGTGCGTAAAGAAAACATGCGTAAGAGATTTTGATTACCGCGTAAAAAATCAAAACCACGCGTTTTTTGTTTTTGTTTTTGTTCTTTTAGTGCAATTTGAACTGATAGAGATCATTCAATACTTCAGCCACCTCAGATCACTTCATGCTGCTGCCTGAAGACCTTATCACCCTCCTTTAGAATAATTCTGAACTTTGGAAACTTGCTAGAATTAATGTGGGTTTTGTTTATCGAACAAGCATGAGTAATGAATACCCCGACAGGGATCTGTATCCTCGGGCCATCAATATTAACATCTTAATAAACGATCTATTTTATGTTATCCATCACTGCACATGGTCTACGCTGATGATACCCAAATCTCCACTGCAATCAAGGACGACTTCAGACTCAAAGAACCTATAAATGCTCATCTAGCCAGAGCTGATAAGGAGATTAAGCATGTTAACACAATCGCATCCATTTAGCGCGAAAATATACTCGTGTATTTGTCCTTGGACTGTTCCTCGAAGCTCACAGTTTTCCTCGAGCTTCGATTTCGGAAAAGATAATGTCCGCGGGCAAATTTTGGCGCTAAATGGAGCTTATTGTTTAAATAGTTATGCAAGTTTTCAGCTCAGCATCATACTTCATAATACACAGAGTTATTTTATGTAATAGTATGGAATTTTAGAAATATCTTTTCTAGAAGGCAAAAATTCCCTTTAACCAAATATAGTTATTTGAAAAAAGAAAACAATGGCAAAACAAATCATCTACTTTTCTGACTGATGCTTTCTTATGAAAAGCCTGTGGGGTTTTAAGAAAATTATTCCAAAAATTATTCAACGCGACTCCGGATTGAAGAGCTAGTAAAGTGAAGTAAACATCCAGGCCTCCAAGGTTTTGAGTTAAAACATGGAGTAAGTGCAACTGTGGAAAACAGCCCAAATGATTATGTGAAGAGCCCTTAGAAAAGGTCAAAGAAGGCTGCTTCTATGAGTGAGCCGTAACAGAAGCGTCTAGTTGTCACAAAGGAGAAGGGCACTTGTGAAATTCTTTGAAAGATAAGGATAGGTAAAATAAGTTAATTAAGAAATATCCGATTACTTGTCTTCTTATTGGCTCAATAAGAGTGGAAAAATTTCAATAAAGTTTCTTAAACAATTAAAGAGGCCTATTTTGTCACCACAGTCGACTAGTATTGCTCTAAGGCGGAACATTAATCTGAAGCTTCGAAACTTCTGAAGGGGAAAAGGTATGAAATCCGATCAATGTACAAGTGTGATTTTGCGCCACTTTTAGCCAGTAACTCGTGAACTGCTAACGATTCTCGAAACAGTTCATTATTTGTATGAGGGTAAAACAACGCATAGTTCGGGAATTGACAAAACCACAAGAGAGCGCGTTTTTAATAGCTTCTCAGTTGCTCCAGCTTATTAATTCCCAGAAGGAAGCTCCTCAAGTTTTGAGTTCAGTCCGAACTGGTGTGTTACCGATATGCGTTAGGTTTCCATAAGTTGGCAATTAAAATACATGTTGATAGCCTGGTGACACGAATATTCGTCTTCAAGACAAGTCTTACACAGCCCAAGGTTGAGAATTTAGAAAAACTCAGCTCCAGCTGACACCATCTTCGTGTAGGGGCAAATTTTGTCTGAATGATGCATTTGTTCAAAAGAATGAGCTGAAATTTGTTATGTAATCACTGTTTAATCTTTCTATCTTAGGTTTTTCTTTAGGCATTCATTTGATAATCACATAACGTACTTATCCAATGCGCACGAACCAGGGACTATTGTCTAATGCACAACTTGACTTTCTTGTTTCTGCGCTCTGAGTAGACACCTTCAAAAATACTGTCGGCAAATGTGAGCACGATTGTTGATGTCGTTGTTGTCTTTTTTCGGTTTTTAATTCAATCAATGATGGAACATTCCAAATTTCATCAAATCGCCACAATTCAAGACATTTTGTTAAGTTAATCTAAATCTATTCAGGTGATTAAGATGGTCATGCGTGTGACACTTGTGCTGGTGGTTTTGCTTGCTATGACAATGGCGAAAGATTTGAAGAGCCGTTTTGACATAAAAAAAAAATGACGAGGTACGGTGTTCTGATGCTATTGATAAAAAGAAAATGCTTGCATGTACTCACCTGTGTGTTTTCCGGCCTTTGTTTTGTTTTGTTTCTTACACACTAACAAGCGTGGTACTCACGATACGATCCTTAGATACAGGGTAAAGTTATCGAAAGACTCTGGCCCATGAGCTGGCAGAAGAGAGCTTGCAAAAACTGCTACCTTCGTTTTAGCACTAGACCAACGGACTGTTGCTTTCCAGATGAAAAATGGTAAGTAATGGTGCTCGGCATTTGAATCATTTGAGTTGAGTTGAGGCAGAAAATTTTTACAAATATCCAGGTGTTAAGAAACCTCATAAATATAGAAAAAGCCGCCATTCTAGTTTACCTTACGCGTATTAATCAAGCGTTAAATTAGAAACGGTAATAGGACTGAATGGAGGACAATTCAGGGAGTAATCGAGTGAGTAGAGAGATTTTGCGCCGCCTTTACGTGAAACGGCAAATGTCAGGGAGTTACCCTTTCACGTTTAGCGTGATCGTTGCTGCTTTAGCTTTGCGTGAGCTCATGTCATAGTGAATTTGAAGACGTACACGGCAAAGTAAAACAGGTTACTTTCACGTAGAAACTGCAAAGCGCAACCGGCAAACGTAAAAAAAATGGCGGGAAAGAGTCACTTGGACACTCTTGCCGTTCGCATTTCACGTAGAGGCGGTGTTAAATCTCTCTGTTGATTTCAAACTTGCAAGCGCTTAGCACGAGGCTTCTATGAAATTACAAGCACGATTGCCCCTATATTGTATGACATGAAGTGCGATAACCATTGATTGTCTTACTACAAAATGCGAGAAACTCAGGAATAAAGTAGGTAAGAGTACATATCCCGAATTATAGTCACAAGACCAGAAAATCTCGTCGATGTTTGTTTTTTGTGTGAACAACTTAACCTGCTCACTTAAAAGTTTTCTTTATTTCGATTGGCTGGCATTGATTAGTTAGTTGAGCTTTACCCATTACCAGTATTTACAATTGGACAGGTGAAATCGAACATTTTGGACTTAAAACAGTCAATTAACCCGCAGATAAGGACTGGTAAGAACCACTCATATTCGAGAATTTTTCTATCGACACAAGTATGTGCAGTATCCGCGCAGTGTAATGAAAGCTAATGAGTTATTTCAGCGTTCAAACAATTTTGTAATGCCTAATTAGAATTCCTCTTTATTCTTAATAATTTACAGTATGTGGAGTGGAAAATGTGGACCGAAGTGAACGCAACTAGAAGAAATTACAGAGATGTTGTGGAGTTCTAAAAGGTGTTCAAAGATGTGACTTCATATGCTACTTAAGTCAGAAACTCTTTGTAATCAGCAGCATTTTTGTAGAACATAGAATGATAATCAACTCCACTGATCTGTGAAATAAAGCATCTGCTTCTTGGCATTATTCACTGTCGTTTTAATTAAAACAAATCGAGCTCTACTCAATGTGGAGTAGCACTTTAATCTTTGATCTTTTAAAAATGTACATAGCGCTATTTCTAATGCTATCTAATAGCGCTTAAAAAATATCTCACTTCGTCTAGGGAGAGTTAAAGAACTCCTTGACCCTTCATGGTCCTTCCTGATAAATAAACTGGGATAGGCTTGGGAATTGTGGGCCAAATGGCTCGGGCTTTCATCGGCGCTGCGACATGAACGACGAAGCCCGAGCGTTTTAGGTCGGTGAGCGAAGTGAGCGCCCGAGAGGTCCACGAGGGTTCGGGAACAATAATGATTGTAACTAGCTTCCAAACCCCATCATAGACCTCTCGCACAAGTTGCGTACCTTGGGACGGAAAGACTGTTGTGTTGCGGGTAAAAGGTGGTGCGTATTAGTACTCAGCATTTGAAGCTAATGAGCTGAGTCGGTGCTAAAAAAAATAGAAAAAAACGATCCATTGGCGAACCCGTTGTGCGAAAAAAGGGCCCATTAAAGAGTAAAGGATTGGACCTTTTTCAGGACTTCCAGGAGACTGGAAGTCAACATTCAATAACTATTGACCTTTGAAAATCCCTGTAGGCGAGTGCTTAGCGCCAAATCGAGAAGTGTATATTCTTTGTAATATTTCTGAATGAAAATGCTTTTAGCGGAATTAGTAAATCAATTCATCAAGAGTATAATGAGGTTTCATTTTTGAGATACAAGTCAAGAATGATGATGAAATACACTGCTTAATCCAAAATAAAGAAGCCAACTCCTTGAACTTTGACCCATTCTGTTGGGCGTCAATGGTAATACAGTCAAGTTATTGATAATTTTATAAGTTTTTGAAACTCCCAAAACTTCAGATAGATGTTTCCAGTCAAGGCTACGGGTCTTAATTACGGCAGCGTAATCTAAAAAAATGAGACTTATTAAATTACTTTGACTCTCATCAATCGTCAGGGTAACGGTTAAAAGAAAAGCGACTTGTTTTCATTCTTTATTCAGCTTTAATCACCATGAATATTCATTTATCTGAATGAACGTCTGGAGAAAGTTTGTTAAACGTTGGTTCTCATATACTGGTGATGAAATTTCTGTTATCTTACAATTACAAATGCAAAACAAGAGAAGAAAGAATGACCACAATTCACACACAGAAACAATTTTATTTTATTTGGTCCTTTGACTTGCATGATAGCAAATGCTAATCAGTTCATCAATAGAGCCGAATCTTCGTGTAAATTTGACCCGGATCTTGACTTCGGCGCTGATGCCAAGCTTACTTATGCTGTGCACACAGACACGTAGTGGATTCGTGACTTTTGAATTTTGGCAAGGAACGGTTAGGGATGTTTACCAGCTAGTTCTTAAGATAGGGTTATTTGGTCTGAAATAGGATTAAGATCTGGAGAGCTGAGCGCGCACCATTACCAAACAATTACGACAATTACAGGGAAAGCACACCCCGGAACATTTCCAAAGAGGGGCTGATTACGCAAGTTATCTAGTTTTCTAATTTTCACTCGTTTCTCGAACTCAAGATGTTTCTCTCGGTTACTTCTTTGCGGTGCATTAAGATTAATCCCCAATAATCTGGTTAGGTGAAAAATCATAAATATGGACTGAGGAGTGTGGAAGAGGCGGAGCATGATGTGGAATTTGAATGCTGAAAATAATTAAAACTAATTCGCTTCAAGGAATGTTTATCAGTCGTGCAAGGCTGTTTCAAATATATTTCACCATAAATCCCGTAAAGGTGTTGTAAGAATGCCGAACTGTCTTTCGTTGATAGCAGTTTGCAGATGTTTTATAGGAGTTGTTTCTGTTTTCGTTCGTTAAGGAGGTACCGGAGTAGATTTGTTCATTGTGTTTTCGTCATGGTTCCTCGACATCAAATGCCACTAACATATGTGACTGTTATGTTTCAAAGTCATTGAAATTTCCATAGGTATTGCTAATTTTCAATTTAAGAACTGATTGCGCGTTTGCAAACGTTGTTTCAACTTTTAAAAGGTCCTAACCACCACAATTCGTAAAAAAGGGCATTTCTTTTATTTGAGAAAGTATTACACAAACAAGTCTTCTATCATTTGCGAGAATAAAAGAAAGATTGAAATCACTACCACTGATGTTATCTGGATTTTATATTTCTAGAAAAAAAATTCACTCTTCTTTCAAGATACCAGCACTCTTCTCACGGCAATTATCTACGATTTCTTTGTCTCGAATCGCGAACCGTATGATCTTTGCACATTTTCTTGTATAGAATTGCTTTTCAAGAAGCATAAGTTGATTCTAGAACGGCTAAGAAATCGAAAGGTGCTAGATGTCACCTTTTCGAACCATATTTTTTCTTTCTCTTCTGCTTTCCCTTTCTTTAAATTACGCTAATGCGAGATTTTGCCGTCGTCGGTATTTTCAGAATTTAGGGTCTTTCATCTTTATTGTTTGAGTTGACTGAAACGGCGCCGATGTTTAGTCGATTCAGGTGTAATCAACTAGCTATTAAAAAATAGCTTAAGGCCTTTGATACAGCAGACCGCACGATATTACTCTCTAAATTAAACGCCTACGGAATTCAAGAAATGCCTTCAATTGGTTTAGATCATACTTAGAAAACCGAACTCAGATATGTTCTGTTAGTGGTTCACTCTCCAAAACTTGCTCTCTCGAATGTGGTATCCCCCAAGGGACTATATTGGGTCCTCTATTGTTTTTGCTATACATAAACGACTTAGCTGAAAAACTATTCTTATCCTAGAATGTATGCCGATGATACGCATCTTACCTACGCTGGTAAAGATGTGAATATCATTCAGTCTTGCTTGAACGAAGACTAACTAAATATCAGCAAATGGCTGATCGCCAACAAACTTAAACTCAATATGTCTAAGACTGAATTTATGCTAATCGGCTGGAGACAAAAGCTAAACACCCCAACTGCTTGTGCCGTATTGAACAACAATGGCACTCCCATAAAACAGGTATCAACATCAAAATCTCTGGGTGTACTCATTGATGCAAACCTTACATGGGGCAGTCATATCGGAGAGTTGGCTAAAAAAAGTTGCCTCTGGTATTGCAGCTATCAAACGAGTCAGACAATTTGTTCCTCCAGCAACACTACACCTCCTGGTTGGCTCAATGGATAGAGCGCTGGACTGTTGTGCGGGAGGTCGAGGGTTCGAGCCCCGACTGGACCAACACTCAGGGTCTTAAAATAATTGAGAAGAATATGCTACCTTTCTATAACATCAAGAAATGGTTAGATATTCTAGTCTTCTCGGATAGGGACGAATAAATGGAGGTCCCATCTCCTGCAGGGTTAGGGGCAGGAGACGTTAATTTCCCACGCACGAGATTACTGTGTGATGGATGTCCTTCCCTGGGGTGGGATGGGTGGTTAACAGGACCCCCGTTGATACCGGTGTTTACTACACTGAAGGGGCTATCCTGTATAAATATAGATGTCTGTCTGTCTGTGTCTGTCTTATCTACAAAGCCTTGATTCAGCCGCATTTTGCTCGCTGCAATGTTGTTTGGGGAAGCTGTGGCGTAAAACTAGCAGACAAAACCGTGCAGCACGGGCTCTAACTTTTTCAAGCTATGACACAGATGAAACGCACTTTTTCCAAAATTTTAACTGGAAAAATCTTAGTACTCAGCGTGACATCCAAAAAGCATTTTAAATGGTTTTCAAATGTCTTAATGGCCTTGCTCCTGAGTACCTAAGTTCAAAATTTATTGCTCGACCTCACACTTCTTCATACACTCTTCGAGATTCTGTAAACAAGTTTAACTATTCCACAGCCACGCACAAACTATCTCCATAATAGTTTTCGCTACAGTGGTGCTGTTTTGTGGAACAGTCTTCCTGAAACATTAAGGCAAGCAGAATCTCTATGTAATTTTAAGTGTCTTTTGCACAGTTATTAGAATAGCATTTAACGCACGGCATTCATGGAAAACAGGCTTTTTGCTTTGTATATAATTGAATAATCTTATATTGTAATTTAGTTGAACAATGTAACTTAAGTTATTTATTTTCATGTATATATATTTCACGCCTGATGAATTTTTAATACCTTGGCTAGATAAAGATTGAATGAATGAATGAATGTTCAACGTATTTTGTTCGTTGTCCTGGCAGTTTCGTCTCGTTTTTAAAAGAAGGCACCTTCAGCAATCAGGACCTTAACGAATTTATATTCTTACTAAGAGTTCTCAGCACAACGTACGTGCGCAGCATGAGTTCCAAATGGTGATATCATGTTGTTCTTTTGTCGAGGACGGCTAAGAGAGAGAGAGACTTTATTTCAAGAGGGTAGCACGTGACAGTAGTTAAACTGATAAAACTGTGGCCCTCTATTAACCCACCCTTCCCACCCCAGGGAAGGACATTCATCACACAGTAATCTCGTGTATGGGAAATTAACGTCTCCTACCCCAACCCTGCAGGAGACGGGACCTCCATTTATTCGTCCCTATCCGAGAAGACTAGAATATCTAACCATTTCTTGATGTCATAGAAAGGAAGCAAATTCTTCTCAATTATTTTAAGACCCTGAGCGCTAGTCCGGCCGGGGCTTGAACCCTCCACCTCCCCCACAACAATTCAGCGCCCTATCCATTGACCTAACCGGGAGGCGGTTAGCTCAAAAAAGTAACAGAGCACTAAAACAGTCAATATTAGCATATCGGTCGAAAGGACAACATGAAATAAAATTGAATGTTTTAATATTAAATAATATTATTAAATAATATTATTATTAAATAATATTATTATTAAATAATATTATTAAATAATATTATTAATTCAATATTGAATGTGTAAGTGTGTGAGAATTGAGGTCACTCTTTCTTCTCTTTTACTCATTTGTATTTGAGCAAATTCATCACCAGTATCTAAGAACCAGCGTTTAACAAACCCTCTTCAGACGTTTTTTCAGATAATTGAATATTAATGGTGATTCATGTTG